GATCAAGGTCAACATCAACAGCGATAAGCCATGTAGATAGTACGTATCCTTGATAGGATGGAATGAAAATGACACTATCTGTGTTCTTCCATCATACACTCCTAACTTGAGCGTAATCATGAGAAAAACATCAGACACATCCCAGTTAAGAGATGGACATTCTGCAGAATACCAGACCAGCAGGCCTCAAAACTGTCAAGGTCATTAAGAACAAGGAAACGAGGGAGCTGTTCCAAGAGGAGCCTAAGGGGCATGCAGGCTAAGGTAAGGAGGTGTCCTGGGTAGGATTCTGGAACTGGAAAAGGACATTAGTAAAAACTAAGGAAATCTGAATTTCTTTAGGAAATTAGGAAGCATGAATTTCAGTTAATAATAATGTCAATGTTTGTTCATTAATTTTAACAAACATACCAAACTAATTAAGGTATTTATTATAGAGCTATTTATTCTATTGGTGCTAGTGGTGAAGAATCTGCCTGCCAATGCAGGTACACAAGAGACACGGGTTCAGTCCCTGGGACGGGAAGATCGCCTGGAGGAGGAAATGGCAACCCACTCCAGTATTCTTGCCTGGAGAATCCCATGGACAGAGGAGCCTGGTGGAGTACAGTCCATGGGGTCACAAAGAGTCTGACACAACTGGAGCGACCTAGCGCACACATATTACAGAGGAACCTGGGTATGGAGTGTATGGGAACTCTGTATTATCTTTGCAATTTTTCTGGAAATCTAAAGCTATTCTAAAGTAAATAATTTATTTTTAAAATGTTATTTGAAATCAAGTTGAAAGAATCATGTGATGGATTAAGTTTGGGGGAAAAAGTTTGTTTCTGATATGGTGGGTTTAACTGACGTTAAAAGGGCTGTAAATAAAACTAAAGAAAGCCACGGCTTTCTTCGCCACAACCGAAGCCACAGGAAGAAAGGGACTAGTGACACTGAGACAGCTCAGGGACGACCTGCTTTTTGATCTTTTTTATTGTGCCCTTGTTGATAGAAAGAAATAAAATGGAAATCAAAAGCAAAAGCAAAACCAGAAAGCACTGACCAAGCAGCATGATCAGAATAATTGTTCTCTTCAGAGGTAAATGTGTGAAAGTTCCCGTGTTCTTTTTTTTTTTTTTTTTCATTAAAACAGAAAGCCCCCCACCCCCACCCCGTGAACTCTTCGGACCCCATCTAATCAAGGCATGTTGCTCTGGGTTCCCCGGGGTGTGGGGGAGCACAGGAAAGGGGGTGCCCTGAACAGAACCCAGGGGTCAGAGCCCAGCCTGCTCACCAGCTATGACCCTGGAGATCACCCAGCCTCCCTCCACCTCTGCTCCCTCACCCCCATAATGAGGCCCGAAATTGCCATTTTCCGGCTGGTGGAAAATTGGAGAGGATGTGTGTGAGCCAAAAAGCCCAGCAAGGGGCATGGCAAAGGCCTTCCGTGAATGATGGTGACTATCAGCAGAGGAGCTGGGGGACAAGCAGATGAATCCAGACAGCCTGGATCGGCCTGTGTAGACAACAGGAGGGAGAAGTTCTTGTGGCCAGAGCTGCCCAGGAAGGCCAGTCCTGCGGGTGCTCAACATGTGGATGGGCAGGAAGGGGCAACAGGTACCCTCCGGGCACAAGAATCACAGGAGAAAACACGGGATGGATGGAGAGGCAGCCACGGAGCAAGGGAGGAGGGGGAGGCCTGGAGTCGCTGTGGAGAGGTCCAGCAGTGGGCAGGGCCTCCATACCCTGGGAGGAAATCCCTCTAGCTTTTACCAGCCTAAGCAGCCTCTTGGGTAACCCCAGTTCATTTTGAAAAAAAGACAGATGGTATTTATTTATTATAGAAGTGAGGGCACTTCTGGAAAAAGAGAATCGGCCAAGCCTAGGACATGCTCCAGGACAGATATCCTCAGCAAAACTTCTCTTGGGGAAGTCTCAGTGGTTACCGCCACGATTAAGGCTTTGGCTCTCCAGGGCAGCCTGTTCCCTGAGTCTACCCGAGGCCTTGAGCTCCAGCTGGCCCAGTCCAGCCACGGAGTGCGGAGGACACAGAGACTGTACCTCCACCCCCATCCTGGGCAGGAGGAGGGAGGGGGCTGGGGACAGGAGCTGTGTCTCCACCTTTGGGCTGGAGGCTTCAGCGGACAAGGGCTGGTCCCTTCCAACACACTGGGGGTTTCCCGGGGGCTGGCTTGAGTCTTTTCCTCAGTGTCTCCCCCAGGATCCTGCGTGGAGATCTGCCCCAGTGTATTCCTGGGATTCGGGGCAAAACTCCTGCTTACTTAGAAAAATGTCCTCCCTGAACTGGGCAAAGGATAAGGGCTAAAATTAAAGCAAGAGGCAATTTGGATGTTCTACTTTCCGTAATTTCAGAACACATTTTTCTGGCCTGCAAGGGGGTACCTCTCCTGGCCCCCAGTGCTGGGCCTTGGGGTTGGGTTGGCAGCAGGAAGTGCCAAGGATCTGGGTATTGACAAGATAAATCCCTCTCCCCACCGTCTTGGCCAGCAGAGCAGAGCCGAGGCGGCCCGCCCACCCCCTACAAGGCAGGATCCTCCAGGGCCCGCCAGGCCGAGGCCATCGTAAATAGCTTAACTGTGTTTACGTAGCAGTAACATGCGTGTTACTGTTCACAGCGACCGAATTCCAGAGGGCAATCACGGGTGATTTACCTCGCCCCGCGCGGCCACCAGTCCCTATGGTGGGTGGGTGGGTGGCCTCTGGGGCCCAGCTTTGCTGTCTCCAGGGGACTGTTTTTAAAAAGCTGCTCCTACCTTGCTGTGCCTTGCCACGTGTGTGTTCTGGAACTGGGGACCCCTCTGCAGACTCCCCAGGGCTTTCCGAGGAGTCTGAAAGAGTTGTCGGGGGCGAGACTTCTGCAGCCCTCGGCCCTCCCCTCCCCTCCCCACTTCTCTCTGGCTGGTGTTTGGAACTTGCCCATCACGTTCATGGAGATGGATGGACAGGGCTGCAGCCCTATTCTCAGAACCAGCCCTGGTACCCGCAGCAGCCCCCAGCCAAGATACTATCAACAACTAACCTTTTTGGAGACTCACTAGGCACCATTTTTCTACGTTTATAGTTCAAAGAAAGTGCTGTCATGAACAAAAGTGAGCAAGGAGAGTGCACAAAACGTGCTTGAGGATGCATAGTGGGTGAGGGGCAGAGTCAGACCCACCCAGGCAGCCTGCACTCCCAGCCGCCACACTCTCCAGCTCTCTCGTGCCGTGAGCCCTGCCCGCACAGGTCTGACTGCTAGATGGGGCAGGGTGACCGAGTGGAGATAGAGTCCAGGAGGCGGAGGATTGCTCGGTATCTATGCACACTCCCATGCCCTGTGCATGCAGGTGCACGCCAAGGAGGCGTGCGTGTCTCCCACAAAAACATGCACATACGCATGGGTCTGCACCCACACAAGGGACTTCCCTGGCTAAGATGGTAAAGAATTTGCCTGCATCGCAGGAGCCCTGGATTCAATCCCTGGGTCAGGAAGATCTCCTAGAGGAAGGAAAGGTGACCCACTCCAGTATTCTTACCTGGAGAATTCCAGGGACAGAGGAACCTGGCAGACTACAGTTCATGGGGTCACAAAGAGTTGGACACCACTGAGCGACTGACACCACCCACCCATGCGCGTATCCTGTAAGTGTTCTTATAAGCACCCTCACACATACCTCAGGGCATGCATACATATCTGTACCTTCACCCTCTGTAAATGAGTTCACCCTATAAGTATATGTACACTACACGTGCAGTCTCACACAGACCCACATAAATGCAGACACGCACACCAACACACATGTGTGGGTGGGGAGTGTCCCACCACTTTGCTAACCAAAAGCATCCTTCCTTTCCCTCGCTTCCAACATAAGTGTCAGTATCAGCCCTAACACAAATGAGGCAAATTGAATCATCATTCAACGTCTCCTGTGTTCACTCAACTAGTATTTCCTGAGTACCCACTACATGCAGGATCTTATGGCAGGGACTGGTGGAAGGCACAAATGGGGGCTCAGCCCAGCCTCTCAGGGGCACCATACCCAGGGCTGAGGAGGGCCACAAGCCATGGGACACAGTCATCACTGTTGCCAAGAGCCAGCCTGTGTGTGTGTGTGTGTGTGTGTGTGTGTGTGCACGCATATGCACACGAGCTCAGTCGCATTCAACTCTTTGTGACCCCATGAACTGTAGCCTGCCAGGCTCCTCTGTTCATGGAATTCTCCAAGCAAGGATACTGGAATGAGTTGCCATTTCTTCCTCTAGGGGATCTTCCCAACCCAGGGATCAAACCCACATCTCCTGCGTCGAGAGCCAGCCTGGGGGATGCTAACTCAAAGAGGGCTCCAAGATCCACTATGACGATTGTGTACATGCTTCTGGAGGCCAAGCTGCCTGCCCAATTATAGGCACCCATAGGGCCCTAAGTGTTCCTGCAGGCTTAAGGTCGGCAGGTGGCCCATTCAGGGACTCTGGATGGCTTTGGCAGGGCCTGAGACCTCTCCCCAACATGCTCACAGTGGAAGCAGCATCATGGCCAAGCCGAGTGAGTCACCAGGCCGGCCACACCCTGAACGCCTGCCTGCCGGCCGTCCCTCCAGTATGCTGGCTTGGCTTTATCCACACAGCCTCCAAAGATGTTTGTGGCACGCGTCTTTCTGATGTCCCGCCCCGCCGCCCGCCCTGCCGTGCCCTGAGCTGTGGGTTACTTAGGCTCTGCCCCAGCAATGAGGGGCCAGACCTTTTACACAATGCCTATTACCCAAGTGCCTTGCCAAGAAGAACCCTGAGCTGGGAGCTGGGCAAAAAACTTGCTGCCCAGGAATAGCTGGATGAGTGACCCGAAGGGGCCAGATTTATGAGGACCCTGAGCCTGGTTTAAGCTCTGCTTTTGCCATCTTGAGAATTCTTAGTAGTTTTGAAAGAGTTCCCTGAAGATGATGTATCCGGCCCCACCACGGAGGCTTTCTGTGGATGGGTTAGCAGCCCTTTCCTGCCCGCTCCCACCTACCCCCCAGCTCCACCGCTCACCCCCAGCCTTCCTGCTGCTCCTGCATGCCCCCAGCTGCCCTGCCACTGCCAGGTCGGCCTCCTTCCCTGGGCTGGCCCCGACTGCTGAGATGTGGGTGGCTGTGGTTTCCCGGCTCCCACAGCGCGGCCGCAGTGTGTTTGAAGATGAACTTGAGCAGTGTCCGCAGACTCTGCTCCCTCTGTAGCCCAGCCTGTGGTCGCCCTTGCCGGCTCCCGCCCCATGGTCTCTTGCCCGCCTGCTGCCACCCAGGCCATGAGAAGCTGAAAAGGAGGGCCCCCAGATGGTACCCAGCTTCTGGCTCTCGGCTCACGCATGGACCCCTCAGCTCCAGCCCCACCAGCCCTCAGGGGCACCGCTGGCTGGACGCTGTCTCCCCCTCAGTTCCCGCAGCTGTGAAATGGAGGTTAAGCAATCCTCCCAGCAGCCCTGGCGGGAAGACGGATGGTAACACACAGGAAGCCTCTGGTGGGAGTCTGGCATAGAGTGGGTGCCTTGAGAGCATGTGGCTTCAGCCGCTCATTAGTTCAGCATTTACTGAGTGCTGGGCAAGTGGAAGATGGAAGGGGAGGCCCAGCCGAGGGAGCTCATAGGTGGAGTGGGGAGGGGCTGGACTGGCTTTAGGCAGAAAGGCAAGTAGCTTAACCAGAATGCAGACGGAATACTGCAGGGTAAACTTGAATGGTGGGGAGACCGAGGCCCCAGAAGAGGCGGTGACTTACCTACACTAGATCTTAGGGGTCTTGTTCCTCTGCCCACCAGACACTCCCAATGACAGGCTATACTGTCTGGTCATGCAGAAGTCACATCAGGCTTGGTACCCAGGTGCTGTGGCCATGTGGATGGGTTGTGTTCCCACTTCATCTTCAGGGCATAAGCCCAGGTCTTCTTGATGGGATGTGAACATTACCCATGCGTCTTCCCACCTTTTCAGGTAACTGAGTATTTATTAAGCATCCCCCTGAATACCCAGCACCTGCAAAGGCTCCGTGATCATTCTTGGGTCACAACACAGCAGTCCTAGATATTTAGCTTGATAGAATCTAAAAATTGAACACCTATAAAATAATCCATACCTCATCCATCATACTAAAGTTTAGTTGCACATGGAGAAACTCTTCTGTAGTATGCCATTTAAATTAGGGAAGAAAAATGCTTACGATGTAACTTGACCAGACAATGTACGCTCTTGTTCCAATACTTATTATCAATGTAAAATTTCTCTTTAGAGGGAAGCATATTAAATGTTTCTGCAGGAGAAATAAGTTATCTTTTTCACTTTTGTATCCTCAATATAAATCCTTGCCCTTTGGCTTTTGGGATTAGAGGAGAGGAGACCAGTATCCCTCCATTTCCAAGTTCCAAAGCCCTGGATACCACCAGGTAAGTTGTAGCCAGGTGCAGGTCCTCTGCCCATCACCCCTTCCAATTCCCAGACTCTTCTCCTGCCTAGTTCTTGGGTTCACTTGTTTTCCAGGGGCTCAGTCCACTCCCAGCGGGTTTAGTGAAAAGAGAAGAGCCCTGGGAATGGCTTACTAAAAGCAGAGTTGAAAAGGGAAGCCTTGGTGACCACTAAAGGCAGCTGGAGAGGGGAAGGGGTGGGGCCAGCAGCATCTTGAGAGGCTCACTGTGCTGGGATGCCGAGAAAGGGCTGTGGGTCCGCGGTGGACACAGGCGGAGCTGATCAAAGGGAACCTCAGTACTCCAGACACCAAGGAGCTAAGGGAGCCCAAGCTCGCGGACAAGCAGGGAGGGCTCGGAAGAGGTTTGGAGATAGAGCCCCAGCCCTCCCACTGGTCACACCCCCACAGCCTGACAGCGGGGCCCATCCTTTGCCTCTCTGAGCCCTTGTCCAGCCTGTGGTCCCCAGGGCTTGGAATTATTCAGCCCGGGAACCAGGCAGTGAGTCTCATGTCTGCCCCAGGCCGCAAAATGGATTATATGTTGTGTTTTTTTTTTTATTAGCTGTCCCTTATTAACTCATAATTACAATCGTGTAACATTTAATAGAGACACAAAGCGATCCCCATCGCTGCCCCACAGTCATTCATTAGCTAACAAGATGGAGCGGCTCATAAAAAAGGGCCGTTAAAAAAATTCCGCAGAAATGGAAAGCAGGAGGTGATGCAAGCGGTGGTTAACAAAGGCCGGGGAGGCGTGAGCGGGTGTGAGCGGAATAACCCAACCCTGATAAGCCACAAAGCAGAGCCGGCAGCTCCCGCCTCCTTCTGCCGCCTGAGTCAGAGAAGCTGGGATGTGTTCAAAATCGAGCAATGTAATTAGCAGGTTGCATCATGCCCCTCGATTATAAATTACAATGGGCACAAAGAGGGTGGATGGAAGAGCAGGGATTATATGGGTAACTCAATCCTGGTGCCCAGGAGGGGGCTGGGAGCTGCCACCCTGCCACTCACAGACCCTAGTAGCCTCTGCTCACTTTGAACTCACAGGACAGTGAGAGGCTTACTCAATGCCTGCTTTGTGGAACCTGGGATAATGATTTACAAACCAGAGGAATCAGGAGGTGTGAAAAGAAGATGCCCCTCTTAACCCAGCCATTGTCTACCCCTGCTGCTGGAATGCCCAGCCCCCGTCCACCCCACGCACCTGTGCACACAGACGCTGCTTGGGGATGGTCCAGGTGAGGAGCCCTCATGGGGGCTGAGCCGATAAGATCTGAAGGGGCTGAGCAGGGATTTGAAGACACCGTCAGGGATGACTGACATTCAGCAAACAGATAGACTGCTGTGATGCTGAGGTTTGCAGAGCGGGGGGGTGGGCGAGGGGATCGGAGCTCAGGTTGGATACAGGACAAGCTCTGTCCTGAGTCCATCCCTAGGCTTTTCCACCAGCAGGTTGTGGGAGCCTGGGCACAGCCTCCTCTCTGATCCTCAGTTTCCCTGCTTCAATCCATCAGCGGGGCTGTACGACTAGGGCAAGCCATTTCCCATCTCCATGCCTCAGTTTCCCTAGCAAGCCTGGCCAGAGCTGGCCATGTGACCTGAAACAAGCTCGCTTTTGTGTTAGTGGGGACCTCGGTGTCCCAGTTTACCATGAGGGCAGTGACAATCATTCAAGTCCAGCTTGGACCTTCTCTGGGTCTAGAAGAAACTCTTCTCCCCAAAGCTCACGAACTAGCCCAGTAACCCACACCTCGGAGGCCTGGCAGCTGTGCCATCTGGCCACCTGCGTGAATCACAGTCTGGTGAGGCAGAGGGGAGTCAGCACAGGCACGCGGCAGGCTCAGGCAAAGCGAGGCGCTGGTGGCACGGTTCCCCGCAGCCGGGGAGTCACACCCTTCACTTCCTCCCGGTGGCAAAGGTTTGCCCTTTCTGTCTGACCTTTGAAAACAGCCTCTACTCCACAGTGTTTTCTTAGCAGCCCTATTCTTCCACACGGAAAATAGTCCCATGAACTTTATTATCTCTGCAGAGGGAGGACAAGGAGATAGCTTTGCCCTTAAAGGTCAATGAACTCTGCTCTCTGCAAAACCAAACTCAGGGCAACTGACCAACAGGAAATTTTTGAGCAAGATCTGGCCCCAACAGAGTTTCATTCTGAATCGGGGAGAGAGCTTGCGGTTGCTCCCTGAACCGTGAACTCAGCCACTCTGGTGCATCAGTCTCCTCAGTTCCAAACTGATGGCAGAGGAGGAGGTACCGTCAACAAGTAGGTGAAGGTTGAGTTGGAGTTCTGACAAGTGCTGCCTTTACTCAGACCAGGCCCGGAGTCCCTGGACTATAGTCCAGGCCATGGGTCTCAGCCTCTGGGTCCCTTTGCCTATGCAGCCACGTAGCTGGAACTTGCGACTCTGACCACACTCTGCCCTGCTTAAAGCCCACTGAAGTCCCCACTCCCCAAAGTCCCAGGCCAGGGCCCCACCTTCCTCGCTGAGTTACCCTGAATGTCCTATCCCCCCTCAGCCCACCCCCAGCTATTTCACTCCTTCACACCTTGGCACAGGCTGATCCCCCTGCCCAGATTACCCTTCCCTCCTCTTGTTCAGATTCAGCCTTTGGGACCTCACTCCTGTGTCACCTGCTCCCAGAAGCCCTCCCCCAGGTGCCTCCTCTGTGCTTCCCCCAGGCCCCCGCCCTGAGCAAAGCTCCATCTCAGCAAGAGCTGTGTCAGACTGCAACACAGCCTGTGTCCTGGGTCTCCACTAGACAGTGACCTCCCATACCCGAGGCAGTCCCTGCATAGAGTCAGTCCCCAGAAGTGCCTTCCTTATTGAACTGCTGCCTTTTCCCACAACGAGGAAGAGGCAGATTTAGTCTGAGACCCTGGCCTGGGGGTGAATTATGGAAAATTACCCATTCATTTACTTACTCATCTGTGTAATCTGAATATGTGTAGTGAAGGGAGGTGGGGGGAGTACAAGACTCACCCACTTTGAACACTTCCCAGAAGATACTTCCAGAAGCCCCTGAACCTGGGGAGGAAAATGTCTCTGAAGCCACCCCCCACCACTTCAGGCCAGGCCCCAGGTGGGCAGACCCCCCAGGTGGACAGTGGCAGTGGGGTCACTGCTCTGTCTGCTTAGCCTAGCAGGTCCTGCGTCTTATCAGCTGCCATCTCCCCACTCCCTGAGTCAACAGAAGCTGGGTGTGAGGAGGTGATGAACGGGAGGGGACCTCTGCCCCACCTGTGGGGAGCTCCCGGCACATCCTCCTGTTGGTGTGGCAACCGTCCTTGTGTCCACATTGCCCAGGCAGGTGAGCACTCTTCTCCCGTGTCAGGATGACATGAGATCCCTAAGTCGTGACCTCGCTCTGGCATCTGTCCTTGGTACCTGTCTGCTCCTGAGCAGAGAGCCAAAATATGAGCAGAAATGCAGCGCCTGGATACCCTGCCCAGCAACGACAAGACCGAGAACAGGTATAGTGCTTCCATTAGATCAGACAGGAGACTTGGATTCAACATGTGGACACACCCACCTGAGGCCCCACAGCTCCTGGGGCCACTTCAGCTTGTAAAACACCTCTTTTCCTTCTTTCCCCACCCTTGGAAGTTGAGGTATGCCCCATATTTGGTCCGTACCACATCCAATGTAGGTAGAGATCTGAGTGACAATACTGAGTCCATACATTAGTCACATACTATGGGCTTCCCATGGGGCCGCAAAGAGTCAGACACAACTGCACAACGAAACCCAGCACAGGACATGGGCTTCCAACGTGGGCTCAG